CTTGACCTGTATGCACACAGGTTTCTCAGGAGGCAGGTACGGTGGTCTGTTATTTCAGTGTCTTTAAGAATTTTCCACAGTTTGTTGTGGTCCACACAGTCAAAGCCTTCATTGGCTAGGCTTTATTATAGTCAATGAATCAGAGATAGATGTTCTTCTGGAATTCCCTTGCTTTCTATATGATCCAGTGAATGTTGGCAATTTGATCTGTGGTTCCTCTGCCTTTTCTAAATCCATTTTGAACATCTGGAAGTTCACAGTTACATACTGTTGAAGCTTAGATTGGAGGATTTTGAGCATGACCTTGCTAGCATGTGAAATGGGTGCAGTTGTGCGGTAGTTTGAACAATATTTGGCATTGCCTTTCTTTGAGATTGGAATGAAAACTGACCTTTTCCAGTCCTGTGGCCACTGCTGTTTTCCAAATTTGCTAGCGTATTGAGTGTATCACTTTCACAGCATCATCTTTTAGGATTTGAAATAGCTCAGCTGGAATTCCATCATCTCCACTAGCTTTGTTTGCAGTGATGCTTCCTAAGGCCCACTTGACTTCACATTCCAGGATGTCTGGCTCTAGGTGAGTGATCACACTACTGTGGTTATCCAGGTCATCAGGATCTTTTTTGTACAGTTCTTCTGTGTATTCTTGCCACCTCTTAATATCTTCTGCTTCTGTTAGGTCTGTACCATTTCTGTCCTTTATTGTGTCCATCTTAGGATGAGCTGTTCCCTTGGTATCTCTACTTTTCATGAAGAGATCTCCAGTCTTTCCCATTCTATTGTTTTCTTCCATTTCTTTGCACTGTTCACTTAAGAAGGCTTTCTTATCTCTCCTTGCTATCCTTTGGAACTCTGCATCCAGATGGGTATATCTCCCCTTTTCTCCCTTGCCTTTCACTTCTCCTCTTTTCTCAGCTATTTGTAAGGCCTCCTCAGACAACCATTTTGCCTTTTTGCATGTCTTTTTCTTGGGGATGGTTTTGATCACCACCTCTTGTACAATGCTAAACCTCTGTCCATAGTTCTTCAGGCACTCTGTCTATCAGATCTAATCCCTTGAATCTATTTGTCACTTACACTCTGTAATCATAAGGGATTTGATTTAGGTCATACTCGAATGGTTTAGTGGTTTTCCCTACTTTGTCCAATTTAAGTCTGAATTTAGCAATAACAAGTTCATGAACTGAGCCACAGTCAGCTCCCAGTCTTGTTTTTTGCTGACCGTATAGAGCTTCTCCATCTTTGGCTGCAAAACATACAATCCAATCTGATTTTGATATTGACCATCTGGTGATGTCCATGTGTTAAGTCATCTCTTGTGTTGTTGGAAAAGGGTGTTTGCTATGACCAGTGTGTTCTCTTGGCAAAACTCTGTTATTTAGCCTTGGCCCTGCTTCATTCTGTACTCCAAGGCCAAACTTTCCTGTTACTCCAGGTGTCTCTTGACTTCCTACTTTTGCATTTCAGTCCCCTATGATGAAAAGGACATTTTTTTTTTGGTGTTAGTTCTAGATGGTCTTGCAGGTCTTCTTAGAACCATTGGACTTCAGCTTCTTTGGGATTAGTGGTTGGGGCATAGACTTGGATTACTGTGATACTGAATGGTTTGCCTTGGGAAATGAACTGAGATCATTCTGTCATCTTTGAGACTGCATCCAGCTACTGTATTTCAGACTCTTTTGTTGACTATGAGGGCTACTCCATTTCTTCTAAGTGATTCTTGCCCACAGTAGTAGATACAGTGGTCATCTGAATTAAATTTGCCCATTTGACCACTTCCAATTTACCTTGATTTATGGACCTAACATTCCAGGTTCCTATGCAATATTGTTCTCTACAGCATGACATGACTTTTACCACCAGACACATCCACAGTTGGGCATTGTTTCTGCTCTGGCCCAGCGACTTCATTCCTTCTGGAGCTATTTCTCCTCTCTTCTCCAGTAGCATATTGGACACCTGCCAACCTGGGGGCGGGGTTCATCTTTCAATGTCATATCTTTTTGTCTTTTCATACTGCTCATGGAGTTCTCAAAGCAAGAATGCTGAAGTGATTTGCCAATCCCTTCTCCAGTGGACCATGTTTTGTCAGAACTCTCCACCACGACCTGTCCATCTTGCCTTAAACACGGCAAGGCTCAGAGTTGCGTTGAGTTAGACAGCTGTGATCCACATGATCAGTTTGATTCGTTTTCTGTGATTGTAGTTTTTACACCGTCTGCCCTCTGATGGATGAGGATGAGAGGCTTGTGGAAGCTTCTGGATGGGAGGGACTGGCTATGGGGAAAACTGGATCTTGCTTGGGTGGGAAGGCCATGGTCAGTAAACCTTTAGTCCAGTTTTCTGTTGATGGGTGGGGCTGTGTTTCCTCCTTGTAGTTTGGCCTGGGGTGAAGCTATGGTAGGGGTAATGGCAACCTCCTCCAAAAGGACTTATGCCTGCGAAGTGCTCCTCCCGGGACTGCTGTTGTCAGTACCCCCAGCCCTGCGGCAGGCCACTGTTGACCCACTCTCCTGCCAGAGACCCTCAGACGCTCACAGGCAGATCTGGCTGTCTGTCTTGGGGTCACTACTCCTTTCTTCAATGGCAATCCACTCCAATACTCTTGTTTGGAAAATCCCATGAATGGAGGAGCCTGGTAGGCTACAGTCCATGGGGTCACAAAGAGTCGGACATGACTGAGCGACTTAACTAGACTATTAACTATAACTATACTCCTTTCTTCAGGGTCCTGGTGGGCACAAGGTTTTGTTTGTGCCCTCCAAGAGCCTCTGTTTCCCCAGTCCTCTGGAAGTTCTATAATCAAATCCAGCTGACCTTCAAAGCCACATTCCCTGGGAAATCTCAGTCCCTTTGTTGGATCCCCTGCCTCCTGGTGGCTCAGATGGTAAAACATCTGCCTGCAATGCAGGAGACCCGGGTTCAATCCCTGGGTCGGGTCGATTCCCAGGAGAAGGGAATGGCAACCCAGTCTGGTATTCTTGCCTGGAGAGTTCCATGGACAGAAGAGCCTGGTGGGCTATGGTCTATGGGTTTGCAAAGAGTTGGACACAACTGAGCAACTGCCACTTGCCACATCCTCAGGTTGGAAAGTCTGTTTTAGGGCCTAGAACTTTTGCAACAGTGTGAGAACTTCTTTGGTATAATTGTTGTCCAGTTTGTGGGTCGCCCATCTGGTGGCTCTGTGGGTGGGACAAATGGTGACCTCCTCTAAGAGGACTTAGGCAACATGCCGCGCCTCCCAGGACTGCTGCTGCCAAAGCCCCTGTCCCTGCAGCTGGCCACTGCTGACCATGTGTCCGCAGGAGACTCTCAAACACTCATAAGCAGGTCTGGCTCAGTTTCTTGTGGGGATCATTGCTCCTTTCTCTGAGTCCTCGTGTGCACAAGGTTTTGTGTGCGCCCTCCAAGTGACTCTGGCATGGATGAAGTTTGATTTTAAATGCGATTGCGTCCATCTTGCCATCCTGTTGCAGCTTCTCCTTTGCCCTTGGAGGTGGGGTATCATTTTTGGTGGGTTTCAACATTCTCCTGTTGATGGTTGTTCAGCAGCTAGTTGTGATTTTGTTCTCAAAGAACATGAGTGCACATCCTTCTCTGTCATCTTAATACAGTATGTAGTGGTATCTCATTATTGTTTTAATATATATTTCCCCGACTGACATGATATTGAGCATCTTTTCACTGCTTATTTGCCATCTGTATGTTCATGTGTGTGTGAGTGTGTGTATTTGTGTGTGTGTGTGAGAGAGATGTCTGATAAGATGTTTGGCTCATTTTTTAATCAAGTTGTTTGTTTTCTTGTTGAATTTTAAGAGTTCTTTGTGTGTGTATTTTTAACAGTCCTTTATGAGATGTGTTTTGTACAAATATTTTCTCCCAGTCTCTGGTTTGTCTTCTAATTCTCTTGATACTGTAACAGAAAAATTTTAACTTTAATGAAATTCAGCTTATTATTCTGGTGATTCTTCTAAAAATGTATTCACCACACTCAAGGTCATTAGGTTTTCTTTTGTTGTTTTCTGGGAGATTTTTACTTGAGCATTTTATGATCCATTCTGAGTTAACTTTTGCGATGAGTGTAGGGTTTGTGTTCAGATTAATTCTTTTTGGTGGGGGACGTGTACTTGTTCCAGTACCATTTTGTTGACCAGAGTGTCTCTGCCACATTATATTGCCTTTGCAATATAATCTTTATTAAATTAAGATTTAAATTAAGATTGCAATATAAATCTTTATTAAAGATTACTTGACTGTGTTTATGGGGGTCTGTTTCTGGGCTGTTTGTTCTATTTATCGGTTCACCTGTTATTTGACCAGTACCACACTTCAACATCTTTTTGATAAGTCTCAAAGTAAGCCTTGTTTTTGTCTGTGGGAGGAGCTCCAGGCAGTTCCTTCTCTCAGCTTCAGCTCCAGGTTGGGGGACGAGGTTGGAGGTGAACCCCAGGACTTCTCAAGCTGCCTGGGCAAGGACTAGCTTTGTTTTGTTTTTGGATTTCCAGTCTGCTGTAGACTCCTACTTTTGTAGAATATAATGCAATGACTTACTAGGTGATGATCATGTCTGTATAATGGTGATGTCAAATCACTGTACAAGTTTCTAAATGCTCTCTGTGAACTTGGTTTGTTGCAGACTGCTAAGTGGACCACGCTTTGGTTACACTGCCCTGTACAGTGGCTGCAGGCTGGAGAGATGCCTGACCCGTATGCTCAGAGATTTTTGTGAGAACAAGAACTTAGCTTGGGCCTGGGAATTGGCTTGTTCCAGGGGATGTGGTTGTCAGGCGGGGCTTCTTCTCATTTCCCATAGGACCAGACGTCTCAAGAGTCCCAGTCAACCTGAGTTGTTCACCTGCCCCCCTGCCCGGCTTCTGGCACAGAGTTGAGCTACAAGTGTCTGTCCTGCCTCCAGCCTGGAGTCCTTGGGTTGCCACAGTGTGGGTGAGTTAGAGGCCCTCTGGGCGCCCCGGCTTAACTCTGGGTGCTCTGTTTTACAGTTTCAGACACTGTGTACTCCGCTTGACCGAAAACAACTCGCAGCCCTTGATGACGAAGCTGCAGTGGCTCTTTGCCTTCCTGGAGCACAGCCAGGTGAGTGCAGGGGGAGTGGGGTGCGGGAGATGCTGGAGAGGAGGCCTGGTCTGATGCCTCCCCTTCACCAGAACCCGCCTGCTCCTGCCTCTGGGCCCTGGCTGGCTGTAAGCTGTTGGGCCCCAGTCCAGGCGTGGGTTCACGGGCAGAGCCCGTGGGGCCGGTTCAGTGCCATGACTGGGCGGGAGAGGGGCCGGCGGAGCCCCCTGTGCAGTGCTGCCCACGTCGCTCCCGTCGGTGGTCCAGTCCACTGTATGAGGTTGTGTCGCTCTGTTGGCCAGCTGTCATTTTGGAGCACTCACACTGCCAGGCACCCTGAGGGCTGTATTTGTTTTATTCACATTCCCTCTGTCCTCATGGAACCTAAAGGCCTTGACCAGGCATCCACCAGGCCCTCTGCAGGGGTCGGCGGAGAGGGGCACGGAGGTGCATCAGCCACAGTCATGCTTTCACAGGGCGCAGCCTGGTGGGGAAGAGGGGCCTGTAGACTGCAGCCGTAGTGCTTAGCAGAGAACAAGGCATGTGTGGTTTCCACGCCGGGTAGGCAGAGGTTGATCATGAGGGGGATGGTGGCCCTTGGAGGACTCCGTGGGACAGGGGACCCTACATCTGGGACTTGAACTCTAAGCTAAGCTTCTGATAGGGGAAAGGGTGTTTCAGGCAGAGGGAATGGCAACAAATAAGGGAAGAACAGACTCCTGGAGGACTGTTCCTCTCCATGGACCCGATGCCATGCTCTTAAGTGGCATGGACTTGGTAGGATGGGAAAAGTCAGCTGGGATGGACAGCTGGGAATGAATGGGGAGGCTGGGAGTTTGGGGCAGTGACTCCCCAGGGTGACCCTCAGGCCCGGCACGCTGTGGAGCTGGGAGCTGGCTGGTGAGTGGCCCCCCCAGCTCCTGACCCGTCTCTCCCGCTTCGGATGCAGCGGCCTGCCATCTCTCCAGAGAACTTCCTGTCTGCATCCTGGACACCCTGGTTCAGCCCCGGCACCCAGCAGGACTGCTCCGAGTACCTGAAGTACCTGCTGGATCGGTAGGGAGGCTGGGCCTGGCTCTGCTCGGGGCTCCCCGTCTGGAGAGGGTGCTGGTGGGGAAGCTCCGTCCCCCTGGGCGGTGCTGTCTCTTCCTGGAGACTGGGGTGTGGCCCGGGGCTTGTGGAAGGCTTGGAGAAGATGGGGCAGGGGCCGCGGGTGGGGGGACGTTCTGGGGATGCTGACGTGAAGCATGACCGGGGAAGGCAAGTGTGTGTATGTACACTATGCTGTGCTTGCCTGAGCTTGAACATTTGTGTTTTCTCACTAGCGCTCTGGGGCACGCGCACGGCTCTTTGTGGCAGGTCTGTGAGCTTTATGCAGGTTAAGTATGTAGCGTGCGTGCCTGGCCTCTGAGTGCATGCGCACGGATGCCACCTAGTACACACGTGTGACCCACTGAGTGTGGACCAAAGCTCTTTGCTCCCTGCGCCAGGCTGCACGAAGAGGAGAAGACCGGGACGAGGATCTGCCAGAAGCTCAAGCAGTCGAGCTCGCCCTCTCTGCCCGAGGAGCCCCCCGGCCCGAGCGCCACCTCCGTGGAGAAGATGTTCGGGGGCAAGATCGTGACGCGGATATGCTGCCTCCGCTGCCTCAACGTCTCCTCCAGGGAGGAGGCCTTCACGGACCTCTCGCTCGCCTTCCCTCCGCCCGAGCGCTGCCGCCGCCGTCATCACCATCACCACCACCGCCGCCGCCGCCTGGGCTCAGCCGGGCTCCCCGCAGAGGACGCCAGCGCCCAGGAGCCAAGCCGGGCCGGGCCTCGGAGGCAGAGGAAGCACTGCATCACGGGGGGCGTCCCGCCCACCATCCTGGACATGGAAGGCCTGGGTCCCCACGGCCTCGGGGGGCACAGCGGTCAGGAGGAGAAGGTGGAGAGGGGGGAGAGCACAGAGGAGGAGGAGGCGGGAGAGGAGGAGGAGGGGAGGGTGGAGGAGGAGGTGAAGGAGAAGGTGGAGGAGGAGGTGAAGGAGAAGGTGGAGGAGGAGGAGAAGGTGAAGGTGGAGGAGGAGGAGAAGGTGGAGGAGAAAGTGGAGGAGAAGGTGAAGGAGGAGAAGGAGATGGAGAAGGTGGAGGTGGAGGAGCAGGTGAAGGAGAAGGTGGAGGAGAAGGAGATGGAGAAGGTGGAGGAGGAGGAGCAGGTGAAGGAGGAGAAGGAGGAGGAGAGGGTGGCCCAGGATGAGGAGGAGGAGGAGGAGAAGGTGAAGAAGAAAGTGGAGGAGCAGGAGGAGGAGAAGGAGGAGGAGGAGGTGAAGGAGGAGAAGGAGATGGAGGAGGTGAAGGAGGAGAAGGAGATGGAGGAGGAGAAGGAGGCCCGGGACGAGAAGGAGGAGTTGGCCGAAGGGGCGGCGGCAGCCGATCCGGGCCCAGGGACCCCCCGGAGTGCTGCGACCGCCTCCGGGGACGGCTCCCGCTCGGTCCTGGACCTGGTCAACTATTTTCTGTCGCCCGAGAGGCTGACGTCGGAGAACCGCTACCACTGCGAGTCGTGTGCATCCCTGCAGGACGCCGAGAAGGTGGTGGAGCTGAGCCAGGGCCCACGCTACCTCATTCTGACGCTGCTGCGCTTCTCCTTCGACCTGCGCACCATGCGGCGCCGCAAGATCCTGGACGACGTGTCGGTGCCGCTGCTGCTGCGCCTGCCGCTGGCCGGGGGCCGGGGCCAGGCCTACGACCTGTGCAGCGTCGTGGTGCACTCGGGGCTGTCCTCCGAGAGCGGCCACTACTACTGCTACGCCCGCGAGGGCGCCGCCCGCCCCGCCCCGGCCCCGGGGGCCGCCGAGCGGCCGGAGCCCGACAACCAGTGGTACCTGTTTAACGACACCCGCGTGTCCTTCTCCTCCTTCGAGTCTGTCAGCAACGTCACCTCCTTCTTCCCCAAGGACACGGCCTACGTGCTCTTCTACCGGCAGCGACCCGAGGAGGGGTCCGAGGCCGAGCCCGGCTCCCCCCGCACCCGGGCAGAGCCCACCCTCCACAAGGACTTGATGGAAGCCATTTCCAAAGACAACATTCTTTTCTTGCAGGTGAGCAGACCCCCATGGGATTCCAGCAGCCCACCAGCTCGGATAAGTGGCTGCTCCTCTCTGAGTCTTTTTCTTTTTCCTTTGATCCACTCATCCCACTTTGTGCTGGGGAAAAAGAAATCAGTGGGCCAGACAGACCCTCTGCTTTAGAGGGACACACATTCAGTTCAGCTGCTCAGTCATGTCTGACTCTGTGACCCCATGGACTGTAGCACGCCAGGCCTCCCTGTCCATCACCAACTCCCAGAGCTTACTCAAACTCACGTCCATGGAGTCGGTGATGCCATCCAACCGTCTCATCCGCCGTCGCCCCCTTCTCCTCCCTCCGATCTTTCCCAGCATCAGGGTTCTTTTCAGCACACGTTAGGAACGACCATTTCTTTATTAAGCTGTCATGTGCTGGAGGAGGGGCTCTGTGAGTGAGCTAGTGGATCCGAGCCGGTGGGGAAGGCTTTTGGGAGGGTCGCCCTCTCACTGTGCCCTCGACGCCACTCCTGAGAGTCTAGGGTGGCATCAAAGTACTTAGCAACTGGAACAGCCAGGGCTCCAAGCAGCGTGAGGCGTGCTGCCGTAAACAGCTGGGTGGTCACACCAGGACCCCGGCCAGCGGCACCTGGGTGGGGGACCTTGGTTCTGCTTTTCCGTTTCTGCTGAGTTCTTCAGGGGGAGATGGGTCCGGGGCTGGTGGCGAGGGGTCTCCAGGGCCGGCCCCAGTGCGGCAGGAGGGAGAGCTTTCTCCTCGGCAGAGTCTGTCCCTCCTGTCTAGAGAGGCAGTGAGCCGGACAGTTGCGTCAGGAAGTCTGCAGGGAGGTCCCGGAGGGGTCAGAGGTGACCTTGGAAGTCTCTGGACTGCCTCCTCCAGGTGCCCCCTGAGGCCCCTGCCCGCTGTTCAGTCTAGTCAGTGGGAGTGAGTTCCTTTCCTCCAGGGTGCTGGGCGCTTACACTGGGAGGGGAGGAGGAATGGTTTTGAAACCTAGATACAGGATGGCTGTGGGTCTGGCCCTCCCATCCTCCGGCTGAGCAGCAGTGCCCCTGCGGGGGAAGCTGGGGCTCCCCTCTGTGCCCGGCTTTGGGGGCCCTCCCCAGGGGTGAAGCTCCAAAGGGCTGGGTGGCCGGGGTGGGGGGGGGGGGCGGGCGGTGAAAGGAGCACTGTGGCTTCAGAGCCTGCATTTGAAGCCTCCTGCTCCATCCCCATCTGTGTTTCCAGGAGCAGGAGAAGGAGGCGCGGAGCAGGGCGGCCTACATCTCTGCGCTCCCTGCGTCCCCGCACTGGCGGAGGGGCTTTGACGAAGACAAAGATGAGGACAAAGGTCCCCCCGGGGGCTGCAGCCCTGCAGGTGGCGGTGGTGGTGACTTCCACAGACTGGTCTTCTAATGGGACCCTCGACCCCCCGGCCTGCCTGCGCTTGTGGGGGGTGCCACAGCCGATCTGGGGACGGCCCAGGTCCCAGGCAGAGGCGCTTGGCCACATGGGGCCTGGGGGAGGCCGTGGAGGCAGCCCCTTCCAAGGGCGAGAGCGATGGAGCAGGGGCTGCCGGCCTCAGCCTGGAGGGCACACTCAGACATGGAGGTGAGACCTGAGCCCCTTAAACTGGCCCTCGGGCCCCGACACTGGGATCAGCCCCCTTAAGACTTGCACCCGAGAGTTGTGGTCAGCTCGGAGAAGCCGAGACGGACACACTCTGGGCCTCAGCCCCTGCCCTGTGCTTGCCATCAAGTAGCAGTTCCCTTCCCTCCCTAGCTCCTTTCAGACAATCCTGGGTCTCTCTAGTGTGGACCCAAGGAGGGTCCAAGCCCCAGCACAAACAAGGGGGCTGTGTGGCGCCCCTCTGGCTGCCTTCTCGCTTCTCTGAGGGGACTGAGGTGGTGTATGTGGGTGCCGATGCTGCCCTCCTGTGAGGGGTGTAGGCGGGAAGCAGCCTAGCGCGGGAGCAGAGATGGGCCCCCCGACACCGAGCCGCAACTCAGGATGAAGGACGGCCCTTAGCCCCCTCTCCCGCCTCAGTGCCTGAGATTCCCCCTTCTGGGTACGAGAGAGAGTCCTCATTTTACTGCAAGTGTGTATGTCTCATGACATCTGTCCTGAGGGACGCTGGCTGGCTCAGTGCCTCAGCTGTTGGGCACTGCCCCGGGGGCCGGTGGGGGCGGTCTGGTGAGGAGCAGATACTGACCTCGTTGTGCCTGACGCTGCTGTACCCTTTCTAAATGGAGAGGAGAGAACCAGGGTCTCAAACAGGAATAAAAAGAGGTTCTCTGAAGCCTTTAAAGCTGTGGTTCTTCCCGTTCTGTCCATGACTTCTCGCCGTGTCTGGGCAGGAAGGCAGGGACACCCCCTTGCCCTGCTGACCTGCGTGCTGCACCAGGGGAGGTGAGTGTGCCCTGCACGGAAGTGCTGTGTAAACGTGAGGCCTGGTGGCGGGGATGTGCCCGGATTGGGGGGGGGGTTGGCTCTGGAGGGGGCAGGTGCACAGGCCGGGGGACACCCGGACAGGACACTGTGGAGGGACTCATCAATCAGTTCCGGGCTGCTTGGAGCTTGCGGCTGCTCCCACACTCCTTTCTTATCCCTGTGGCCCTGGATGGGTGGGCTCAGGGTCTGCCCATCTGCGAACCTGGCACAGCAATGGCCTGGTGGGGGTCTTCCTGGGCTACAGTGGAAGAGCTGAGGTTTGGCTCCAAAGCCCACGGAGCCCCGAGACTCAGGGACCAGTGCAGGTGGACTGTCAGAGACCGAACGGTCATGCTCAGAACTCACCTCTCTGGTCCAACGCGCCTTTAAGAAAGATGAACTGGTAGGGGTCGCTATTACTTCCATTTCACACACCAGGAATACAGATTCCAAGGTAAGGAGGATTCACACTTGTCCTGACAGCCAAGAAAGGTCACCAGTTGTCTCCTGTTCAACAGAAGGTGGAGTAGCCGGGGATGGGGGCAGACTGTCTGGTCGAGGACGGGTGTCCTGTGCAAGCCCGCCGCCCGCCCCCCGGACGAGGCAGACGCCACAGCCCTCTCTGCTTGCTTCTCACGGACTTTATTGTCGTCCAGCTCCACCACCACAGTAACAAGGGCCCTGCAAGCTCCAGGCCTGTACTATGTGTCACCACCGCAAAAACAGGACGCCTGAGAACGCATTCCCATCCCCCCCAGATCTACTCACAGGATAAATACATGTTACAAATTTTTTTTTTAAAAAAGAAAACAATAAATTAATAACTTAAGTGATTAGGCACCAACAGCGATTTGAAAAATTAAATGTCAATTTTAAATGGTAACAGGGCCAGAAACCTAAGACCGGGCTTCTTCTAGCCCGTTTTCTCTTCTCGACAAAGCAACGATTCTGTGGGAAATGATTCTACATTTCAAGACACATGTAACCAACAAACACATAAGCACACACACCACCAAATATCACACGCCAGCCCCTCGGTAGGCAGCCCACCTGGCCCCCCGAAGAGCTGAGTGAGTTTCGGAAGGTGGCGACTTGAGCGCTCCTGCGCGCAGCCTCTGACCCTCGCCGTGTGCAGACAGACAGATGGACGGAGAGGGGAAGGATGCGCTGACTTCCCTCCTGCCCTGCGCTCTGCTTCCAGCTTCTGGAGCTCCGTCAGAGGGCCGTGGGCAGGGCAGGGCGGCCACAGCTGGGGGCCTTAGCCCCGGGGCAGGTTGAGAACCGTTGTGCTTCTGTCCTAGGGATGGGACGCAGTTGAACGGTTTCGAGTGTAAAGGTTACTGCAGTCAGGTCTAGGGAGGGCACTGGGTTAGCTGGCCCTTGACACAGGTCACAGAGCAGGGAGCAGTCACAGGAGAGCCTCAGGGCCCAGCTGACCCCGCCAAGGTGGGGAGGAGACACGGCTCCCTGCAAGCACTCCTCCCTGCCTTTAACCCTGCGGAGCTGGGGAGCTGGAACGGGAGACAGCTGCTGCTCCTGGGAGCCCCAGGCAGGAGGGGGCTCTGCTGGCCGGTCGCAGGGCCTCCTGGGGTCTCCGTCCGCGCCAGGCCACCAACAGAGGTGAACTCTGAGCCACAGACGGGACCGTTAGACCCCTGGGACTTGGGGCTTGAGCCCCAAGTCTGCTTTCAGCATTCTCTGCTTCTTTTGTACTTCCTCTGGTCTCTGCTCCCGCCTCCACTCTAAGGGTTTCGGGGTTGGAAGAATGAAGAGCTGGAGGGAGGCCTCCTTGGAGGTTAGATTTGAACACCTCTGTCTCTCGTCCAACCAGTTTCACTCACCTTATGGCACATTCAGAAAACACTGATATCATCAGGGCACCTGATGATCAACAGGGGACGATGCTGGGAACTGACGCATCCATACCTGGGCCCACCTGTAGCCTCTGGGGTGGGGTGGGGCTACCATTCAAAGCTCTGCCATATGAGACAGTCTGAAGAGGGCCCTAAAGGGACACAGGGCTGGGCAGTCACCTACCAAACCCTGCCCAGGGGAGGCCACTGCCACCATCACCACTTCATCTGTGCGAACACCAAGGCCTTGCTGCTGCTGAGGGCCTGGGCTGGGCCCATACTCCCAAAGGTCTTTTGTTCCCAAAGCACAAGTCTGTCTTTCTCCCCTGGAGCCCAGACCCACCCTCCTTTCCCTAAAAATATGACCCTTCTTCCCCTCCGACCAACTCAGGTACCCGCTTTTCCTAGAAACCACATTCCCTGATCTGCACGCCTCCCCACTCCGGCCTGCACACCAGTCTCCTGGAGAAGTGGCCTCGACTTCTCCGCACATCCCCAGCTTTGAGCCTCTCATGGCCATCAGCGACGTGTCCTTGTCTTTTTTTCTCATCAAGCGCAACCTTCTCAAACACAAAGTCTGATTAATTCCTGTGTCCTCAGTGCCCAGTCCAGACCTGGCCACAGCAGCCGCTGCCATCACTTAACTGAGCTGATGTGGCTAATACTAGGAGGAGTTCTCCCCTGTTGAGACCGTCTCTCCCGGGACGGAGCGCGGTCAGGCCTCAGGCTGCTGAGGCTGTACACACGCTCACAGGAGCAGAAAGGTGAGCGGTAGCCACCTCCCTTAGGTAGGGTCGGAACTCGCTTCTTTTGGAGGAAGAAGGTCTGTTCTCCCCAGAGTAGGGTGAAACATCTGGTCCGCCCAGTTGCCTCCGAAACTTTTTAAAAATTTGTCCAAGAACTCTTAACATAAGAGCGTCTCCCTCCCCAGGCTTGGGAGAGGGAACCTGGGGTGATGCCCCCTTCTGTCCTGGCAGAGGGTGACGTCAACCTGGGGCCCTTCCAGCCCTGCCGTCTCCTGTCCCTGTAGCCAGGTCTGAGTCCAACAGGGCACCTGGGACTCCACAGAGCTACTGGGGGTGCCCTGGCACCAGGCCACGCCCCAACCTTTCGTGGGCCCTGCACAAACCTCAGTCCGAGGGCACAAGCCACCGGCCACCCTGCCACGTGCTCGGGGCTCTGTTCTGCCCGCCTTCCGTCAGTCCTGGGAACTGCCCTCGCCTGCCACCAGGCCAGCTGCCCCGAGAGCAGCGTCACCGCTCCCTTTCTGCTCAGCCTGCGTCTCCGTGGCACTGCCGGGGGCTCTCTCTCCAGCAGGCGCGCTGGGCGGACCTCCCAGGGCCCCCACACCGACTCTCAGCCGCCCCCGCCGCGCCGCCCGTCTTACAGAAGCTCACTTGCTGCGCTGTCTCCATGCCAGTCCCGGGCACCGCCGTGTGCCTCCGCCCAAGCGGTCCCAGGGTGGCCCCTCGGTACCCCGCACGCCCACCCTGCACCCCGCGTCACCTCCCGCTCGCCATGCGGTGCCCCCGCCCCACGCTGTGTCGCCCAGCACAGTCCAAGCCTTGTCCAGCGTGGCGGCCCTGGGCTGGCGGGGTCGGGGGCACGGCGCTCTGTCCTGGAGGGCAGAGCGGGCCTGTGGCTTCACGGTCCCAGGGGCCCGGCCCCGCAGCGTCTGTCTCCCCATCTTCCGGGCTCTGAGCCCCGCTCTGGGTTCTCGGTGGCCGGTCGTCCCCAGCCTCTCCCTCCCTCCACCTCTCCCACCCCTGAAAGTGGGGGGCTGCCCCGAAACCCCTGCGGGGCTGCACTGCGCTTCCGCGTCTCGGGCTCTAATTCCTCTGTCCCTCAAGACCGCCTCTGACCTTCCTCCGCGGCTCCTCCGCCTTTGGGTGGCCCCGCCCCGCCCCGCCCCTGCCAAGGGAGACAGGGACGAAGAGGTCCGTGCCCACACTGGCCTGCTGCTCTTGGCCGCCTGGTCAGCGGGACGATGTGGCCTGCTCCGGGGCCGAGGCGGGGAGCCCGGCAGCTGGAGGCCGGACGGTGAGGTGCGGCCCCGGCTCAGAGCCGCGGCCCCGCCCCCACACGTCCGCAGATACTCGGGTCTGAAGGGCAGGCGGAGGCTGCGGGAGGCTTTTTGGCAAGAGCTCTAACTAAGGTAGGATGGCCATTGCTGATAAAAATCAAAGGTGGGCCCGGAGAGGGCGGAGGAAGTGCCTCCATCAGCCCCTCGCCTCCCAGGGGGAAGGGGTCAGGGTCCCTGATGCCAAGTGCTTTGAAGGCCAGAGTGGCAGAGGAGAGAGGAGGTGGGCAGGAGGGCGCGCTGCAGAGGCGAAGGGCGAGCAGACCGGAGGCCGGCTCGGCAGACGGGGCCTCCGGGCCCCTCCCTGGGCGCGGGGCGTCACAGCTTGGCGCCCTTGGAGGGCTCTGAGGACTGCCGCACGTCTGTCCACTCCTGCATGGTGTTCTGCAGGGCCTGGGTCTTCTCCTTGTCCACTTGAACGTAGTCCACCTTCTCGTCGGAAGTGACCGATGACGTGGATGGCTGGGGGACAGACCAGGGAGGTGAAGGGCTGTGAGCGACCGTAAGGCGGGGAGCCGCACGCGGCTCTTCCTGAGTGGTGCCTGGGGCGAGCAGGTGGGCTCCCACCTGCCGCGCTGACCTGTTTTTCCCCCTGAAAGTGGCCTGTGGAGCCTGACCCGCACCCTGCGCCAGCCCCCCTCCTGCTGATGCCGCAGCCCCTGCCAACCCTCTTGCTGCTGCAGCTCTGAGGGGGCCCGGGCCCTTCCCTGGGTCCAGGCCTCCACCCACTCCCCGTGGCCGCTTGTCCAGGAGAGGGAGCTGGTCGGGCGCCACCAAGGGCCAGCTGCACGGCTCTGTGGGGGTGCGTGGTGGGCACGCACGGCCGCCCTGGGTCAGGGGGAGTGTCAGTGCTGCTGTCGGGACCCCAGCTAAGTGTGCTTCCGGGAGGGCAGGGGGCGCCTTTCCCAGGCTGCACCCGGACAGCGCGTTCTCAAAGAGCTCAGGACCGGGACACGCGACCCCTGTGTCTCCGCTCTGTCACGGATTCACACGTGACCCTGAGCAGACCGTGTCTCTGTGTGCGCTCATGTGTCCTTCCACATGGCGAGGGGAGGGACGGGTGGACGGACGAGGGCCTGTGGACTCAGGGTGCCTGAGTGCTGAGGCTGAGCGTGCCTGAGCCCTCTGAGACCCAGGCCTCAGCCCAGCCCGGCCGGACGAGGCACCTGGCCTCCGGGACCTCTCCCCCCAGGGCCCCAGGAGCTCAGTGGGACCCCCCACCGCCCACGCCCACCCCAGGCACCTTGCGGTGGGGGCTCGGGGAGCTCGGCTGGAAGTCCAGGGCCAGATAATCCACACTGCCGGTGCTCTTCTTAGGGGCTGGGCTGTTGGTGCCGCTGGGAACGGGAGATGCAGACACAGGGTTTTGCTATCGCAAAGGAGGGAAAAAACTGTTAGTGACTTGAGGAAGTAGACTAACCCACCACCGGGGGGAAACACGCCTCTGGGAGTGAGAGCAGCCAGCTCACCCAAGACCTGCTCTGTGCCGGGGACAGCCCGTGTTCCTGTTTAAACCCTCACAACGATCCTGTGACGGAGGCACTATTACTTCTCTTTTTTTTAAACAATGAATATAAAATTGGTTCAGAGAAGTTAAAGCAGCTTGCCTATGGCTGCACAGCTGGTGGGCAGGGGAGACGTTCCAGCCTGAGCCGCTCTCACTGTGCTGCCTCCCGCCTCCCGCCTCCCGCCCGGGCCGTCAGGCCGGGCCTCACCTTCCCTCCCTCCCAGACCGGCCCTCGCTCGCTGCCCTCAGAAAGGAGCGCGTGCCCCGTGTGCGCTGGACCAGCCCTGCTTCTCTGGGGCGCCCACCACGGCCGGGAGCGGGGCAGTCACCCCGCAGCACCTGGCCACCCCCTGTCCCGGCTCCTTGAGGGTCACTAGAGGGCCCTCGTCACCAGCGGCGCGAGGCCCTGGCCCCCCAGCAGCTCTCGGATGACCCACTGCAGGGCCGGTCTCACCGGGCGCGGAGGCCGGCTTGTCTGGCTCTCTCCTGAGGACGCCTTCTCGTGAGAAAGGCGACAGTCCTGTGCTGCTTTTCGGCTCCTTCACTTGACGGGTGGGTTTGCGCTCCCCTTGTCCATGTGTCTGTGTGTCTGTGTGTCTCTCATATGTCTGTCTGTCCATCTGTCCACGTGCGGCTGTGCCCTGGGGATCCCCGTGGCCCACGCCTCTGTGAGCCCCCCCACCCCAAGGCACACACGCGTGCACTTCCCCGCCGCGGGGCAGACACTCCGTGGGCGCTCATACTCCCACACCTCCTCCCAGTCATGGGGACAACAGGAGGAGAAAATGAGGAGACCTTTTGCTTCTGAAAAGTGTTAACAGGATGGAACAAGGGGGTTAACTTGGGAAGCTGCCCCAGTTCTTCCCTGCAGGCCCCCCTGATGACGATTCTGAAACACTATCTAACTGCCCGGCCTGCGGACCCTCAGGTGGCCCCCACGGGACAAGTGCAGGCTTCTGGAGACAGCATTCGGGGTCGTTCGTGGTCTGACTTCTAGGCCAGCCTCCCCGCTGGCCGCCCCCACCTCAGACAGAGTTAATGACTGTCACTCCCCGTGTCCCCATCCACGGCCACCTCTGCCCAAGCGCCTCCCCTTCCCCACCCTGCTGAGGTCGCCCGTCCTGTGGGTGCACCCCTATAACACCACCCCCCAGGGCACTGACCACACTGCCTGGGTCACAGTCGGAGAGAGGCAGGCCTCCTCTCCCCGCTGAGGGCAGGGACTGCGTCTTCCTTGCCTCTGCTGATGACCCCACAGTAACTGACACGTATGTGCTCCAGACAGACAGACAGACAGACAGACAGACGGGTAGCAGCACACTGCCCTGGGGCCGGGGGAGTCAGCGAGCTGGGAAGTGCGGGAGGACTCACCATAGGGACGTAGTTCTCTTCACTGTCTCCGGAGTCGGTGCTGGTGATGCTCTGAGTAGAGATGGGGCGGCAGTACTGGGAGGAGCTGGGGTTGAAGGAGTGGCTGTTGTGGGGGGGAGACAGGGGGTAAACCCTGGGCATGGCCAGCCTCCCACCAGGCCCTGGACCTCTGGCCTCCATTATCAGACTAAGATCTGACACGGAGCGGGGACTGTTCTCCCTTCGTCACAGAAGAGGAAGCCAAGCCCTGAGCTACCAACAGCATCAGGAATGTGGTGACCTGTTCCACTCACCAACCCACTGCCCCATTCCAAGCTCTCACGTCCACAGACAGACACTCACATGGCCCTGGACCAAGACCTGGTGACGGGGGACTTGAAGGGGAGCTCGTCGATGACGGTGTTGTTTCTCAGGTCAAGTGGTGTTGGCTTTGCTGCAGCAGGAACAGAAGGTTGACTCATCAGCCAATGATGACAAGGCCACACATATAGACCCTTACACGTAACAGACAAGTGTGTTTAAAATCCTTCCTACTCATCCCAGTTATCCATGGGGAGACCCAGGCTCCATGAGGTTATATGATCTCTGCTCATGAAGTCATATCTTCAGATACCAAAGTATCTATTCCTCACACTGTACCGATGGCAATCACACTTTCAGATCTAAAATGGGCACGTGGGCTGGGACTTTTGTGACTGAGAATGAAAGCAAGAGATGATATCTGAAACGTCATGGAGAAGGCCACCATGAGCCCCCCCCCGCCACTTCTGGGCCAGGACTGTAGAGCCTTCTATGGAAGAAGGTGAATATCACAAGGCCCTGAAGGCTCCGATTCAAATGCTGAGCTCTGCATTCCCTGCCAACCAGGCCTAAGGGGGCTTCTGTCTGTTCACGGACTCTACTTCTCCCCCTGAGTTCCTGCCCCTGGTCCAGGCCTGCAGAATGGGGTCAGGCAGACCTGGAGCTTGAACTGCAGTTCTTCTTCCTGGTCTAAATGTACCAGTCAATGTCCTAGCCGCTTTCCTTCTGAACAAACCCAGGAAGTAGGCATGACCATCCCTACTTCACAGATAAGAAAACCAGAGGTTCAGAGAATTCACATGAATTACTCAGTCACACACCTAGGAAGCACATCTACCTGGTTTGAGAGCTCAGTCCTTCCTTTTATAGCAGAGTGTATGTTTCAATGGAACACTCTGTCAGTTCTACCTTTTTTAGCCCTAGAGCTAATAAAAAATCCCTTATCCTTGAGCTGCATTTCAAACACTGTGAAGCACATTAAGATATATTGTCTATGCCCTTCAATGTCTCTGATAGGCATATTAAAAAAATTAATTTATGTATTTTAATTAGAGGCTAATTACTTTGCAATATTGCAGTGGTTTTTACCATACATTGACTTGAATCAGCCATGGGTGTACATGTGTCCCCCATCCCGAACCCCCCTCCCACCTCCCTTCCCACCCCATCCCTCAGGGTTGTCCCACTGCACTGGCTTTGAGGGCCCTGTCTCATGCATTGAACTTGGACTGGTGATCTATTTCATATGGTAATATACATGTTTCAATGCTATTCTCTCAAATCATCCCGCCCTTGCTTTCTCCCAGAGTCCAAAAGTCTGTTCTTTATATTGGTGTCTTTTTTGCTGTCTCACATATAGGGTCATTGTTACCATCTTTCTAAATTCCATATATATGCGTTAGTATACTGTATTGGTGTTTTTCTTTCTGACTTACTTCACTCTGTATAATAGGCTCCAGTTTCATCCACCTCATTAGAACAGATTCAAATGTTCAAATTCATACTTCCCACATCACAGATGAGAAGCAAGGCGCAGAGACAGAGAAGGATTCGTTTACAATCACATGTTAGCAGGTGGCAGGCTGCAACCTGAATCCATCCTGTCTTTCTGATCCCTGCACTTCTGCATCTGGTCGCCAGTCCCTACTGGGATGGATTTGGAGAGAGAGTGTGTAATGTGTGTGCGCACACATGTGTGTGTGTATTTGGGGCGATTTAGGCTCCAGAGGCTGTCACTTCCTTGCAAGGCAAGTTTAGGATCCACGGGATCCCTAAATGAACGCACAGTCCCTGAAGAGTGCCCAGAGCTGGGCTGGGGAAACAGTGGACTTACTCTTCCGGTCAGGCTTGAGGTTGCGGTTTACAGGGGGTGGCTGGATCTCACTCCCTCTGCTGGAGCCTCGGTGCAGAGAGAGGGCTGAGGAGGGGTAGCCGAGCGGGTCAAAGTGATGCGGCCCCGGGCTCATGGGGATGTAGACACTCTGGGAGTTATCACCGGCTCGCTCCAAAGCCAGCAGGGTGGAGGAGCCTGGGTTCATGGGCACGTAGTTGTCCTCGGAATTGGTGCTGTCTGATCGACCCACAACTGCTTTCGCTGGCTAGGAGTGGAGAGAAATACTGCTGTTACTAGGGAAAGGAAACAGGAGAGGGTGCAGATCTTTACACAGGGCAAGAGAAGATGGAGCTGGATGCACTGTGAAGCTTATAAGGCAGACCCTGGGAAACCAGGTAAGAAAGCAGCGGGGCGACAGGAACAAATGAAGCCTGTGGGTCTCTTCTAGCTTCCATGATCCCTTGGAGCTTACTTATAATTTGTGATAAACCTTGTGTAAAACATCCACAAGGCTTTCTGGCTGCCTGACCAAGTCAGGACAGCACAGGCCCTGGGTCACAGGTTTGGTTCAGGACCCGCCCCCCTCCTCAAGCCCACACTCATCACTGGAGGTCAGCAGCTCAGGCCCTGGGCAGGGCAAGGAGCCTCCGAGGGGCCTCGGCGCTGACGGGCAAGGCCTGGGCAGGCGTGCTTCCCCGAGGCAGCTCTCAGTGTGACCACCAGGCTGCAGGCAGAGCGGCAGTGCGGCCACTACCCTGGCCACAGCCTTCCTTTCACTCCTGGCCTGTCTATTGGGATGCATATACAACAACTAAGCTGCTCATGTTCACGATCTTCCCGGGGAGCCTGAAGGCAGGCCCTCCTCGGCGTAGCTGGGCCTGACACTCAGCAGGGCTGTCATCGACCCCCTCCTGACGGCGGCCTGCGACGCTGCTCTGACACCATCCTGTTGCTGAGCCCAACTCTGAGCACCACCCCTGCCTGGGGTCTCACACCCATGGTGGGACCTCATGGTTGGGGTGCTGCCGGACAGCCACATCCCAGTGCCTGTGTCCCCTGCATTCTAGACCCTCCCTGCTCACCCTCGGTGATAAGCCTTCTTGTCTAGGGCACCTAAGTACACACATTTCTTCCAGACCAGGATACGTGCATTTTTCCAAATACTCAATCCAGGGGTTCTGAACAAAGAAGCAAGGCAGGCTCCTAGGAGGTAGATGCCGTCACGTTTTTCGGCTGTGGTTTCAGTCCCATGGGGGTGAGCTTTAAACCACCTGAGCTGCCTTAAGGACCCCTGATTCAACCCCACTCACCAGGAAAGCGCTGACTGCATCGCTCATGGACTCGGCAGACCGGCCGGCACTGTCTCCACCACGCTGCGGGTAGTCATAGGACTCGCAGGAAGAAGCTATGGCAGAGGAAGGAAGACCCCTGAGAACTCAGAGCTGGTCCCTATGCTGACACTTTCCCACACCCTCCCCAGTGTCGCTCAGGATCGTAACTGCTACTCCAGGAGATACCGCTCTCAATTCCTAAGACAAGGTATTGCTTCTACCACATCACTCCTCAACTCACAAATTCCTCCTGGGCTTTTGGACGTAGCTCCAATGTTGTTTAGTCGCTAAGTATTATCCAACTCTTTGCAACTCTGTGGACAGTAGCCCACCAGGCTCCTCTGTCCATGGGATTTTCCAGGCAAGAATAGTGGAGTGGGTTGCCATTTCCTTCCCCAGGGGATCCTCCTGACCCAGGGATTGAACCCACATCTCCTGGACTGGCGGGTGGATTCTTTACTGCTGAGCCACCAAGGAAGCCCAGCTACAGGGTTATTAGCAAGATGCAAAATGGAAGAGATTAATAGTATTCTACTTTTTCATCAAATGGAGGAGGCCACACGCAGAGTTGGAATACTCTCAGTGGGAATTAAGCGACAGTAGAATTTAAATACTTCAAATAGATGTTCAGACTTTAACCAGAGATGCAAATGTGGCTTAGAAAATATTTTGCAGATCTAATTTTAATAGTCTGTTGGTCCACAAAGGTTTGGCTCCAGTTTGGACTAGTCTTCTAAATTTATTTTTTAAATCTTTCATTTGATTTATAAGTGAGTAAAAGACTAGGATCCGGACCTCTAAACCCATAATACGTTGTAATGTGGTTAACCAAGAATGTTCTGTTTCCTTAGTAGAACAGTAACTTCTCTCAGGCAGGATCTGCTAAACTCTTGCCTCTGTGGTGTTCACTAAGAGCCTCCAGGGTTGGGGGCCCAGCGAAGAAAGGCCTGGGCTGAGAAGATGCCTAAACCTGTGAGCACGCCTGAGCGGGGTGGGCCTCAAGCCCCTTGGCCTGGATGATCCTCGTGCAATGCCGAGCCCCTGTGCCCCCTCCCTTCCTCCCACCCCCTCTGGGGGAGCCGGGGCTCACACTGACCTCGGTGAAGCCGGCTGTTGTCCATGGCTGGGAGGGTGTTGCGCCTGGGGATGGTGGCGGCGGCAGAGACCGATCTGCTGCCTTCCCCGACGGGGGGTCTCTGCTGAGGGCTGCCCCATCGAGGTGTGTCTGCCTGACTTGGCTTGGGGGGCCGGGGTGGGGGAGCTATGGCCGAGTCTCCAGGCGTGGCCACTGCCATGGCGTTGTGGTTCTTGTCCAGCGTGAACGTCCTAGGGATCTGGTAGGCCGAGAGCGGGGTGGCCGGAACGTCCACGTTGTCCACCAGGAGGTCCCCAAACTCCCGGCACAGGGTGCTGCTGGGCATCTTGAAGGTATACGCGTCCTCGTTATCCGTCTCGGAGCTGGTGAGGCTGCCCTTGGTGTGGCCGTGGGCGGCCAGGCTCCGGGGGAGGTCGTAGGCACTGTCTCTGAACTCGGCGTTGTGCCGGCTTGGCTTGGGGAGGCTGTAGAAGCCGTGGACTTGACCACCGACCCCGTTGACACAGTGCCCGTTGCCCTGGGCAAGTTTCTGCACGGCTGTGTCGCTTCTCATGAGGAATGAGGCCCTGGTGCCCTGCGAGAAGCTGGCACTCCTAGGAGACAGAAAGGGGGGCGCGGGGGTTAGAGGAGGCTGGCGGGAGTGTCCACACCCCGCTGCAGCGACGCAGTGGGGAACAAACACAAGCTGAGGAGGCTGGCGGGCCTGAGGCTCATTTGGACACAACATAGCTTCTCTCTAAGTGCATCTGCAAGAATGGGGATTAAACTCATACTCTGCAGTTTGTTTAGGAATTGGACTCTGGTGCATCTAGTAAGTATGTGTTAGCCTTTGTCTTGCCCCCTACCCCCAAGAAAAAGAAATGCAAAAAAGCAAAATGGCTGTCTGAGGAGGCCTTACAAATAGCTGTGAAAAGAAGGGAAGCAAAAAGCAAAGGAGAAAAGGAAACATATACCCATCTGAATGCAGAGTTCCAAAGAATAGCAAGGAGAAATAAGAAAGCCTTCCTCAGTGATCAGTGCAAAGAAATAGAGGAAAACAACAGAATGGAAAAGACTAGAGATCTCTTCAAGAAAATTAGAGATACCAAGGGAATATTTCATGCAAAGATGGGCTCAATAAAGGACAGAAATGGTAGGGACCTAACAGAAGCAGAAGATATTAAGAAGAGGTGGCAAGAATACACAGAAGAACTGTACAAAAAAGATCTTCATGACTCAGATAATCACAATGGTGTGATCACTCACCTAGAGCCAGACATCCTGGAATGTGAAGTCAAGTGGGCCTTAGAAAGCGTCACTATGAAAAAAGCTAGTGGAGATGATGGAATTCCAGTTGAGCTATTTCAAATCCTAAAAGATGATGCTGTGAAAGTGCTGCACTCAGTATGCCAGCAAATTTGGAAAACTCAGCAGTGGCCGCAGGACTGGAAGAGGTCAGTTTTCATTCCAGTCCCAAAGAATGCTCAAACTACCGCACAATTGCACTCATCTCACATGCTAGTAAAGTAATGCTTAAAATTCTCCAAGTCAGGCTTCAGCAATATGTGAACCGTGAACTTCCAGATGTTAAAGTTGGTTTTAGAAAAGGCAGATGAACCAGAGATCAAATTGCCAACATCCTCTGCATCATCGAAAAAGCAAGAGAGTTCCAGAAAAACATCTATTTCTGCTTTATTGACTATGCCAAAGCCTTTGACTGTGTGGATCACAAAAAACTGTGGAAAATTTTTAGAGAGATGGGGATACCAGACCACCTGACCTACCTCTTGAGAAATCTGTATGCAGGTCAGGAAGCAACAGTTAGAACTGGACATGGAACAACAGACTGGTTCCAAATAGGAAAAGGAGTACGTCAAGGCTGTATATTGTCACCCTGCTTATTTAACTTATATGCAGGATACATCATGAGAAATGCTGGGCTGGAAGAAGCACAAGCTGGAATCAAGATTGCCGGGAGAAATATCAATAACCTCAGATATGCAGATGACACCACCCTTATGGCAGAAAGTGAAGAAGAGCTAAAGAGCCTCTTGATGAAAGTGAAAGAGGAGAGTGAAAAAGTTGGCTTAAAGTTCAACATTCAGAAAACTAAGATCATGACATCCGGTCCCATCACCTCATGGCAAATAGATGGGGAAACAGTGGACACAGTGGCTGACTTTATTTCTCTGGGCTCCAAAATCACTGCAGATGGTGATTGCAGTCATGAAATTAAAAGATGCTTGCTCCTTGGAAGGAAAGTTATGACCAACTTAGCGTATTAACAAGCAGAAACATTACTTTGCAAACAAAGGTCTGTCTAGTCAAGGCTATGGTTTTTCCACTGGTCATGTATGGATTGAGAGTTGGACTATAAAGAAAGCTGAGTGCCGAAGAATTGATGCTTTTGAAATGTGGTGTTGGAGAAGACTCTTGAGAGTCTCTTGGACTGCAAGGAGATCCAACCATTCCATCCTAAAGGAGGTCAGTCCTGGGTGTTCATTGGAAGGACTGATGTTGAAGCTGAAACTCCAATACTTTGGCCACCTGATGTGAAGAGGTGACACATTTGAAAAGACACTGATGCTGGGAAAGATTGAAGGCAGGAGGAGAAGGGGACGACAGAGGATGAGATGGTTGGATGGCATCACCTACTCAATGGACAGGGGTTTGGGTAAACTCTGGGAGTTGGTGATGGACAGGGAGGCCGGGTGTGCTGTGGTTCATGGGGTTGCAGAGTCGGACACGACTGAGCAACTGAACTGAACTGAACTACCCCCACAAGGCTGTGATGAGCAGAGGTTGGTCTTACCTCCCCAGACAGACATCAGCAAACTACTTACATCAGCCATGTGTTCACCGCTTTAAGTGGAACAGAATATACGCATGAGTATACAAAGGCTGTGAGACAGTGGAAAGAACCCTTAAGTTGGTATCAGAAAACAGCAAACAAGTCATTTTACCCAAGTCTCAGTCTCCCCACTGTAGAACAAGTCAGCTGACGCGTTGTTCTAAGTTAAGTAGAACTATTCAAATGTAAGCTATAGATTTAGTTTACATCAATGTTCACTGAGAGGCATTCAGAGGGGAAAATCTGTCTCTCCAGGAGACTAAAATACTCTAGGAAAAATGTTTCCAGTTTAGGAACTATACTCAGGAGAGGAAAGGTCTTGATTATTACTTTTTAAAGTTCAGGTTTTGGGAAAATGAGGCAAGATTAAAAACTAAATGATCTGGGTGGAGGGGGAAGGGTTTGTGTGAGTTCCATCCCCACCACTGATACAGGCTGTAGGCTTCCCCAAGGAGGGACCTGGGGTGTCCTACACCCTGTGGGCTTTCCCAAGGAGGAACCTGGGGGGTCCTGCATGCTGTGGGCTTCCACAAGGTGGGACCTGGGGGGTCTCACAGGCTGTGGGCATCCCCAAGGTGGGACTTTGGGGGTCTCCAGGGTCCTTTCAGGTCCGTCTGGCTCTGAAAAGCCACGACCCCTTGGCCCGACTAGCATGGTTTCCAAACTGCATTCTGTGTTCTGCATAGGTGCCTTCAGAAATGAGAAGGTGAAGTTCTGAGCAAGCAGAGATTCATATCTGCTTTTCTCTTATAGGATGATTCTTCATGGGATTCCATTTGGGGAAAATAAAGGAATCAGAATTCTAGAATAATCCTATACAGTGGTGATTCTCAGCTTTTGGGAGGCTATATGCCTCTTTAAGGATCTGATAAAAATCTCTTCTGGCACTTCTCACCAGAATAAGGCAAATCTCATACACATACAGATTTGCAAGCGATCAGAGGGCTGGTCAGCCCTTAACCCACTGAGGCCAATCCATGGAACCCCCACCTTATACAAGCTCTCTCAGCTCATGGGGAGCTTGTTATTTATGGATGTGGCCACCAGATGGTGATAGATATTAAGGCCCATCAGCTTAGAAAGCGGAAGGGAAACAGGTGTCTAGGCAGGCTCTCTTTGTTAGCTAACCTGCATCCGTGATGGCTGGGACTGACATTTCAGACCCCATACCGTTCACGACCCTCATCCCTGGGCCTCCATGTTCTCTTCCTTTCTGTCCCATTTCACACATGTAAGCAAGCCAACATCCGTGGCCTAGAGCACTGAACATCCAGCCTTGAGATCCTGGAGGGCCTGGGTCCGAGGCTGGGAGCCAATGGTAGACATCAGGGTTCATGCAGTTCACATCTGTCTTTGGTGCCTTTCATTGTGTCTTTTGGAGCTTCCAACTCTGGTGGATGCTCCCATCTGGATCTGTCCATTGGAAACAACCTTTCCTGACATCTCACTTTCCATCTGGGCCAGGCCCCATGGATACAGAGAAGCCTCCTGCCCTGGGGAGGGGGCACCGAGGTAGAGGTGACAAGCCTGCAAGTCTTACAGTCAGGCCTGCAAATATGCGGCTGTTGACACATTTAGGGCAACTTTCCCTGGTGGTGGTGGTGCAGAGTGTCAGGGAGGCGTCTTCAGCGATGTCACCTTGGACTGACTGGCAACTGGCCAGGCAAAAAGAAGAGAAGGGAAAAGGTGTTCCTGTTAGAGGCAGACCAGTAGAACGCCATCTGGCAAGTTCAAGAACCACAGGCTGTTTAGGCTAGAGCAGGAGCCTTAGAGGTGGGTTGAGGGGTCACAGTGGAAGGGCCAGGCCTGGGCTGAGGAGAACAGGAGTCCCTGAAAGAGTCTAAGGGGGTGTGGGGTGAGGACAGCATCGCAGGGAGCCTGCCGTTGCCTTCAACACACTCAACCGTGAGCTTATCATCTCTCTCCTGACTCTCCGGTTTGGGGAAAGGCACCAAGCCACTCAAGCCAGGAAGAACCTTTCTCATTTCTCACTCCATAAGCACATCAGGTCCTATTGATTCCACCCCAGTTCAGGTTCTCCTGATTTTCTTCCGCATTTAACAAAAGGGCTGGTAACTAACTAGTCTCCGTAATCATCTGCCAGGCTCTCTGGTCCTCTTTTTTATCCCACTCATGCTTCCTTTCCTAACTTCCCAGCTTAACAATTCTCAGTGCTGTCTCTGTGTCTTTAGGATGACGGCATGTCCCAGCTCCACCTCACCTGCCCAACTTCTTCTCCCCAGACACCCTCCCCAGGCTGGGATCTAGGCAGGTGGCTCTCAGTGTTCCAGGAGACCCCGGGCAGCCAAGCCCCGTGCCGTGTTCGCTGTCTCTGGAAGGCCCCTCTCTCCCATCTGGCAGCTCAAACTCAGCTCCCGAGGCACCTCTTTTGAAGCCGGTTCTTGCGTTCCCCGCCTCCAAGCACAATCACTTGCTCACTCTTCTTGGAGCAGGTAGCAATGGTTAGTTACCTGTATTACACACCAGTTGCTTATTTCCTTTACCAGGCTGATTTCCTTGAGGAAAGAAACAGTGTTTTATTCATTTTCCTCTCATCAGCACCCAGATTAGCACTTGTCATATAGTGAACCGTGAATACATGTTTGCTGAATGAACAAGCAGATAAACTTACAGACACACAGGTAAAGAAAAGCCTTGGCGCTGCCATTCACCTTCCCCGAGCCTGGCCTGAACCCTTAGGAGCAGCAGATGGAAACTCTTTTCTCTCCAGAGCATGCAAGCTCCAGGCAGCTTCCCACAGAC